CGGGAGCTCGCTCGCTCGCTGTGAAGGTATCCCGTATATCCGACTTCTAGCGGGATTAGGATTTACCGGGATTTAGCGGATTTACGGATTTGCCGGATTTGCCGGATTTACCGCGACTTTTTTTGCGTTTGGCTGGATTTACCCTAAATCCTACTAAAAACTTGAAATAAATCCGATTCCAAACACCCCCTTAGGCTAAAGCCTGCTCAAATCATACATCCAAACGGCCCCTTCGTCTACAAGGAAGGGTTTCTTGTCGGCATCTCGAGCGCCATAGGAGTTATTTGAGCCAACCAGGGTATCGTCCGGAATGGGCAAAATGGAGGCTGCTGGGAATGGGATCGGCGGCGGTAGGTGCCGGCGGTGGGGCTGGGCGGCGGCTGCTCTGTTTTCTGTTCTTATTGCCACGGCGGTGATCCCAAGGAGAGCCTTCTTCTTTCGAATTTCAAAGCAGGCCTGCGACTTAGCGGTGCTTTTCTCAAAACTTAAATTGAAATTAGTTCATATTTTCGTTGTTTTTATGCTTATGTTTTTTGTTCGAGCATGATTGGGGGCATTGGTTTGCAGGACTCGAGAAAGTATACGGGTATCGTGGAAGACTGTGCTTGTGGTTATGAAACTGTGGATTCTCTTAACAAGGAGGTGCTGCATCCCATTTTACAGGAGCTAGTGGCCACACCCTTCTTTCGGTATTTCAAGGTTTTTCCTTAGATTTAAGTTTCTTGAATATTTTCATTTTTTTTTCTTTATGGATGTTTCTGTTTAGTTTGTGATTTAGGTTTTGAACATTTTGAGTTGAGTTTCACTCATAGAGTTTCTTGATGCATGGATCAAGCAGGTGGGTATGGTTTTTTTAATTTCTACCCAGCAACTTTTTTAGGGATCAGGAACTTGTGACAATAACAAGAAAAGATCTATCGAAGCAAATTTTATTTGGTTTGATGCATATCAAATATACACATACAACTAATCAAGAAATTTACCATTATAAAGAATGAGATTTTGGGGAGACATAAAGTTAATAGCATAATAAAGAAAGGCTTGCAATTGAGTATAAAAATAACCAACCTCAGAGTAAAGTTGATGTAAAAAAAAATGTAGATGCACAAAACTTATGCAATTTTATAGCCTTGGAGTCATCTTGTTGCCTTCTTGAACTGCTTTCCCGCTTTCCATGGATTTTTTGCTCTTCCTCTCATTCTCAACATTGTGCTCATTCACTTCCTTTGACTCTAGATGACTTTATAGGCCCCATTCAGCTTTCGCTTTTGATCTGTCTTCCTCTGTTGTCCGTTTCTCAATGGATTTCATCTTTTATTTCTCCCACATTGGCTGCTTTTAGGATTTTCCTTGAACTCCCAATTTGGCACCCACTCCTATCCTATTATCTCTTCGTTTTATTGAGACTTCTCCTGCTTCCTCTTCTTCGGATCCTATGTTTTATATGTCCACCCTCCTTATTTTTTTGCAAGAATGACTCAAAAGCTCATTCCTCTACCTTAAACAATCATTTCTCTCTATTTTTTTATCAAGATTCAACATCACTCCCCCATAAGCTTTTATTCTCATATCAGCGCAACCCGCTCTCCTATTCAATGAAGAGGTGATCCCAGAGCTTCCTTGGTCTCTCTATTTTTTTATTGTTTGAAAATTCACGTTAGGCCTCTCAAACTTTGAGATCATTTAAAAAAAATTATTTGCTTTATATTTGGTTGGCGATTATTCTGTTGGACTCATTGACCCTCATCAAGTTATGATTAAACTTTCTTTAGATGCATGCTACATAGTTTTTTTCTTGAATGTCTATATCAGTGATTTTTTATATGTATACTAAAATGGTCGCTCCATTTTGGCTCTTTTGAGGAACCACATCACTCTAGTTTGGATTATATTCTCACGATTTCATTTACACTATTATAACTAATCCACTCTATGCTTGACAAACCTTTGTAAGTGTGTAATATTACTGCTTGTCTTTCAAGGGCATCTATAGTTTGAGTCCTAATTGAACTATATTTTACTTTTTAGTTTGAAAAGGAGGTGTCGATTGGCTCTTCTACTTGTGCATATTGGTAGAGGGTTGAATTTGGAGGAATCTCTGCATATTACTCATCCTAGAAGTTTTTTTGACATAATTTTGCTAACTATTTTAGGACAAATCCATAGCTAAGTAAATTTAATTATCCGGCTCAATGGTACAATCAAATAATCAGATCCAACCCCCTAACATTTTGGAGGCAACTTGTCTAGTAGATCAGATTTGCAACCAAAATTTGAAATTTTTTTAGATTTTTCTTTGGGATTTGTGGCTTTTCTGACTGCTCAAGCTAGCCCTATGATGGTTATCACATCAGCACCTACAAGCATAATCATAGATCCTTGTCCACCTATTGTTGCAACACCACGTCTCCATCTAATATTTGAGCACAATGATGATAAGGCTGCTTGCCAGACTTATGATTCAGATAAGAGCACTAAGAGTTTTGACTTTTGTGGATAGGAGGTTTCAAATTATATTTACCAGTCGATTCAAGAATCAAGGAAAAAAAAACTATTATCTCTCTCCTGTTTTTACCAGCCTTCAAATGAATTGTTTGAAGTTATCATATTCTTACTGATTTAGTTAATTGCTCTTGTTGTATTAATTTCATTTTCTCGTTATAAAATTATACTTTATATAAAAAAAGACTTTTCATGTGCATCTTGGATATTATTCAACCATTCATTTTATTTGTTTATTTATTTTGCTTTGACAGGTTAAATTGTGGTGTGATTGCCCATTTTGGCCTGATGATGGGATGTGTCGTCTTCGTGATTGCAGTGTTTGTGAGTGTCCTGATAATGAGTTCCCAGAGCCATTCAAGAAGCCTTTTGCAGGGCTTTCAGCTGATGATCTCATCTGTCAGGAGGGAAAACCAGAAGCTGTTGTAGACCGCACACTAGATAGAAAAGCTTTCAGAGGGTGGGTTGTGATTGACAACCCATGGACAAATGATGATGAAACTGATAATGGTAGTGCATAGTGTCACTACTTTTTAGGATTTTTATAATTATATCACTCTTATAGCATACAGATTTTACTATTACATTTCTTGGCAGCTGAGATGACGTATGTGAATCTCCAACTAAACCCTGAACGCTACACCGGCTATGTTGGCCCATCAGCTAGAAGGATATGGGATGCTATTTACACTGAAAACTGTCCAAGATGTTAGTTCCTTTCAATTTGTGCTCATATATGTATTTTTTACTCTTCAATATTTTTTTAGCATATGCCATTTAAAATTTTTAGACATTGTTTGCTTGTAAGATGGTGCAGAATGTTGGCCATTAAAAGTGAAGCAAAAAATTAAGTGTTACAGAGATAAGGATGCTCAAGTGGATGAGTGACTTTACTCTTAGAGATAGAATGCAAAATGAACATATACGTGAAAAGGTTGGAGTAGCTCCAGTGGATGATAAGATTAGAGAGAGTCGTCTTAATTTTTAAGCTTGTAATATGTATGGCAGTAGAAGATCTTAATCGCTTCCTCTCTTTAAATACAAGCCTAGCTCATAGAAAGTAGGGAGAAGTTGTCTGAATAAGATGATTTTGGATGTGTTTTTAGGTTCTTTCATCCTGTTTTGCAGCTGGAATAATGTAGCTAGTAGGATGTAAGTGACACTATATTAGACTGTTAGTTTGTAGGCGTATTCTACCTGCAATTTTGAGTACCATCATCTTTGTTTTATTTATTTATTTTTATTTTTTTTGTTGAAAACGTAGGCCGAAGCCTGACTGAAAACTCCTAATTGTTGACATGCTTGATCAATGAAAAATTAATCGGGTTGAAGCATGATAGTTCAATCAATCAATTTTTAAGTTTTTGTATGGTGGAAATTGTATTTTCTTGCAAATTATTTAATTTACTTTTGCACTTGGGGATTTTCTTCAAATAGTCAATATTTTTTTATTCAATCTTTATTTGTCCTTTTGCATTACAATTGTATTTTTATAGTTTTTTTGACAAGTATGCTTCTGTCTTCTACTCTGTATTTTAGATGCATCTTTATGGTGAATCGAGCAGAAAATCTGATATGAAACCTTTTTATCACTTTTATTTTTTATCCTGCTTTTTTTTTGTACACTTTGTTCGGCTTATTTTCTGTATAATTTTATTGCGCAGAAAATATTATTATTGGAAGGATTCTTTCAGGCTATGGCTCAAAACATGATTCTTACGTTAAATTTCATTTTTTATTAAGACAACTTAAATGGGCCATAAATTTCCCTTTCATTAACATAGGTTTTACTTCTGTTAGCTTAATCTCTCTGCAGCAGCTTAAGTTAGTTGAGGGAAAAAATTATCAAAATTTAATGTTTTTCTTAAAATGATCAGCCATATGGCAATGTTTAATCCATGTGAAGAAAGTACTAATATGTTGTTCCTTTGTATATGAATAAGAAATTTTTAATGCTATTATTTGTTCAGTGTTAACTTTTGTTCTTGCTTCTACATTCCTTAGATTCTTCTGGAGAAATTTGTCCAGAGAAAAGAGTTTTGTACAAGTTGATTTCTGGATTGCATGCTTCGATCTCAGTGCACATTGCTTCAGATTATCTACTTGATGAAGCTACAAATATGGTCCCTGAACTTAAGCTCAATATTTTAACTAGCACAGAAATCTTTGATTACTATAGATAACCTGACATTTACTTATCTGCATAATTGCAGTGGGGCCAAAATCTGGAATTGTTGTATGAACGTGTTTTGAGATACCCAGATCGTGTCAGAAACTTGTATTTTACATTTTTGTTTGTTCTACGTGCTGCAACAAAGGTATTTTTCTTTCTTTGCTTGCGTTGTCTCTCAATATTCTCGCAATATTCACTGTTTTCCCTGCGCATAGTTGCTGTCCACTGTTGGAGAAAGCAGTTTTCTCCTTGTTCGGCTTCAGTTTTGGTTAGGAACTACTTGAAATCAAGTATTTCCTATCAGATTGCCATTCAACAAAATGTGCTATTACAAGTTAACTCCGCATGATAGATACTTTTAAACAGTCACCTCTTCAAATTTTGAACCGAACTCCTGGATATTTTCTTCCCACTTGGAGTCAGATGTGAATTCCCTCTCTCTTTCTGATATTGTTTCCATCCTTATTGTTAATGCAGTGAGTTTTTTAGGTTTACTTTCATATGGAATAATTGAAATGTATATTGATATAAAAATATCAAATAATTAGCTCTCACAATTTTCTCTTTTTCTGTCAAGTCACGACCTTTGCTTTCTTATCATGGTATGTTGGTTAAAAAACAAAAAATTTCAGGCTGCAGATTATTTGGAACAAGCAGAGTATAGCACAGGTAATCCTGATGAAGACCTGAAAACGCAGTCTCTTGTTAGGCAACTTGTCTACAATCCGGAGCTACAGGCTGCTTGTCCAGTGCCATATGATGAGGCCAAGCTATGGCAGGGTGAAAGTAGTCCTGAACTAAAGCAGCAAATTCAGAAGCAATTCAGAAACATCAGGTGTGCCTCTAAATTTCTCTGATTATTTATGCTTCTGAATCAATAAGATCTACCATATTCACATTACATTAATGAATCATAAAACATATTACAATCTCTGATTTCATAATCATTTTGTAGTGCATTGATGGATTGCGTTGGATGTGAGAAATGCCGGTTATGGGGAAAGCTCCAAGTTCTTGGTCTTGGAACAGCACTGAAGATCCTTTTCTCTGTTAATGGCCAGAACCATCTAAATCAACCGGTATAGCACTTTTTTCTATAATTTCCTCTCTAATGATTTGATGCATGAGCTGTTGGAAATGTGGTGAAGCGTAATTCAAACATCAAAAGTGAAAAAGAAAAAAAATGAAGATATCAATGCTGAAAAATACACAACTTTTATATGAGTTCACCTTACTGATGTCTATGTTCTGTTGCTGTCGTTGTAAATTTTATCATGATTTGATTATTGGGAAATACTGCTAAAGATTAAGTTGCATTTAGGCCTATAACTTGAGCTTCGTTTGTGACGGTTTTTTTACTGCTTCTTAAAACAGCTTTTTACTATAAAAATTAAAATTTTTTGTACGAAAAAATTGCTTTAAAAAGCAGTAAAAAAACCGTCCCAAATGGAAGCTAAAATTAGGCTCCTTGATTCAACATATAATTATACAAAAGTAACTTGATCAATAGCATTCCACAGCTCTTTTTTTGATCCAGCAGCTAGAGACGATATCTTTTAAACTTTTTTCTCAAGTTATTTCTTCATTTTGGATTCAAAACTGTCAGCGCAGCTGATGATCTGGTAATATTTCTTTTTATGTTTCAGTTGCAGCTGCAACGGAATGAAGTCATTGCATTGGTGAATCTTCTGAACAGATTGTCGGAGTCTGTTAATTTTGTACGTGAAATGGGTCCATCTGCCGAGAACATAATGGAAAGAAGGCCTTCCTCACCAGCAAGGAAGACTCCCTTATAGCAAATAGAAGAATAAGAAGTATACCTAAACTATGGTAAGGCTTCATAATCAACCCTTAACTTCATCCCATTGTAGCCTTCGAGAATTTTCACATTCATAGGTGACTCTAAACTGAATGAAAGGATATATATTTGCATCTGACGGAGATAATGTCAAATTCTAATTTGTTTGAACATGATGAATTTTCTTGTAAGAGGACAAAAATCTATAGTGCATCAGACACCAGACGGAAAGAACCTTCCGGTTTTATTTCTGTAAACAGTAAAAATGCAGCATGAACAGTAAAAGCGTAGTTACTGTTCACAGAGACAAAACTGGACGATTTTTTCCATCCGGCGTCCGAACAGAATAATTAATCCTTTTTTTGGGAAAAAAATATAGTAGTTTCAAAATTTGTCATGAAACCATTGCCTATAAATTAGATTTGATGATAAACCTTAGAGCAATCCCATTAGTTGTTACTTTCATGATCAGCAAACTAACTCTATGATTTCTCTTGTCAGATGTAGATGTAGATTAATACCGAGAGTTTGATCTGTAGCTTCCGGAAGACTGAATTGTTCGCTGAAGTTAACACCCCATAAGCCAAAGCCATCCTGAAGAGGTGACAAAGCATATCCTATTATATTATAGCATTTGGGATTATACAAAATCAACAGAATAAGTACAACATATTGCGGGAGAACCACTGTTCTGAGCGACTGTTAGGATTATTAAACTTCATGTAGCTTTGATTTTGATTTTCAATCATATAATTATCAGATTTTTTTTTTAATAAAGGACCCCATTGCTTATTTTTGTCTCTTTTTGGTTTGAAAAAAATTAATTATGTTTGGAATGACTGTAGCTTTTTATAAAATTAATTATGATGTTGCCATGAAAAAAATAACTTTACTACTATGATTGAAAAAAGCAGTTGCAATCACATAAATTAAGGAGTTGACATCTCATCTCTCTCTCTCTCTCTCTCTCTCTCTCTCTCTCTCTCTCTCTCTCTCTCTCTCTCTCTCTCTCTCTCATATACTCTATTCTTCTCCTACTATCTTGTTCATCTTGCCTCTTATTGCTATTTGTTGTTGGCTCTCTCTTGTTACGGTAAAGTCGCATCGATTGTTTGTATGTCATCATTCTTATATCGGGCTTCTGCAAATCCTTAGACATCTCATCTCTCTCACGATAAATTATTTTGTGCATACGTCGGACTGTCCTGAGGCAAATTAGAACGTGCCATGTCACTCGGTACATAATTACGGTACACAACAAAAAAGTGACTTGGCGCGTTCACCTCTAGACGTCGTTTGTATCCGCACATAATAATTTATCCTCTCTCACACAAGCTATTTGAGGCAACTATCTCTAATCTTATTTGTCACTATAGCTACTCTAACATATTCACATATATACTCATTTTGCGTTCTATCTCTAAGAGAAGCCACTCATCCAACTGAGCATCCTCCTTAGATTTGTGAATAAATTTAAATTTATAAAAAAATTATAAATTAAAATTATACCAGGCTACTGCAAATAGTTTTTCTAAATAATAAATTCAATTTTAAAATTATAAAAAAAAATTACCTTGAACTCACGAAATCATATGTCATGAGTTCCCAAAGGTATTTTCTTTGGGATCATTAAGGACCATTAAATTTGCTCTTTTTGCCATTGGCTTATACAACATAGTAGTAAGAGATAAGACTTATAAATTTTACAGACAATAATTACATAATATTTACATTGTGCTTCAAACTCAATGTATATTCAATGCTTATGCATATCAAATCCACCACCTTTTAATGTGGGTTGAGAAGGTGGACAGTGGTGAGGGCCGATAAGGTTATAGTGGAGCTGTCAATTCAAGTTGGGGTCCGACTCAAAATTTATTTGCTTATTCATCATATGAGCCAAAATATGTGACTCGAACTCCGCTGACATGAATCCGTCTCATTTGATGCGTCTATGAATATCACTATAACTTGTTTGATCCAAAAAAATGTCTTGCTTAATTCAAACTTGAACCATTTAATCGAAATCTAAATGATAATCAGATCAGTTTTGAGTTTTTGGGTCAACTTGAATATGACCCAAATTATAATCAGTTCAATTCGAATCCAAAATTGTTGAGCCATGCTTGTTTGTATGATGTCATTTATTGATGGATGATAATAGATAGATGGTTCAACATAATGATGTGATGATGGTGTGGGCCAATAGTTAAGTGTATACTTGATGGATGATAATAGATAGAAATGTAAGAAATTTTGTGGCAAGGATGTGAAACATGGATAACATAGTGTAGTGCTTGTGGGATATAGATAGTGATAGCTTGGATTGGTATGAGTATCGTGGTACGATGATAATAATACATATAATGATGGTGGTCGTGATCATATATTAGACAAACATGTGCCTGAATGAGTCTTAGGCTTTGTTTGGAAAAGTTTTTTTTTACTGATTCTTAAAGCGGCTTTCTTGTAAAAAATTTTAATTTTTGTATTAGAAAACCGTTTTAAGAAGCAATAAAAAAACTGTCCCAAACGAAGTCTTATTTCTCTTGCTAAAAACGAATGATACCAGCCTGACTTATAAAAAAGCTCAACCGTATCGTCATATGTTAGTTGCTAAAGAAAAAAAAAAAGATCATATTTGAACATTTTGAATTTATTTGATACGTGTAAAATAAATACATGCGATTATTTTTTTATTTGAAATGAAATGGATGAAGGGTAAAGCTCAATGATCGTTATGATCGGTGGAGAGCGGACTATAGTGGCCGGCGATGAACAACGATTATCAGCAATGAGCCGCTATTGTTGATAGCTAAGTCAACTTATTGAGTTTTTGGAATTTAGTTTAAAACTAATAAATTTTTAATTTATAAAAAAAATGAACTGTGAATTTAAATTTTATCAAAATTTTACTCTACTATTTTTTTTTAATTAAATTAGATAAATAAAATATTCTAAAATTCTTTAAATTTTTATATTTAAAATATTTTACACTCATCAAATCATGCTGGCCCATGTAGGGGTTTGCCCTGTGGGACAAAAAAAAAAAAAAAAAAAAAAAATTGCTTTTCCTAAAAAAAAAATTGCTGTTCCTGGCCCCTTCATGTATTTGATTTAACATTTTTTTCCTTAAACCGGCGGCTTCAAACAACTGGTTCTTTATTAATCCGGTTAAACTTTATTCGAACCGGGCTCGTCGTCCTCGCATAAAAATTCACGAACATTATCTCACTCTGTTTTTTTCCCAAACTTCTTCGCGCCCTATCTCCGGTGGCTTTTTTTCCTTCCAATCTCCCGAGTCGCTCTTCAGTTTCTCATGTCATCTCCTCTTCTCCATCCTCCTTGCTTCTCTTCATCATCTCACCTCTCATTTCCTCGCAGCGCCGCCGGCTTCTCTCCCACGCTTCTTCGCCACGCTGGATGCTACCAAGCGTCGTTTCTGTTCCACCAGTGCAGGTTCTGAAAACATGCATTTTATTCCTTTTATTGCTTTTATCTATACTTAAATGGCGAGTCTAAGCGCAACTGATTAATACTTCTTCGTAGTTATTTAGAGTTCTCTATTTCGCTTACGAGTCAATTACCTTGATAAATGATAACTCTATTGATGCTCGGCTGAACCGTAGGATGTTCGGTTTCAGAAGTTTTTGTTGTTTTTTTAGTTTGTATCAAGTGGTCGTTCTCTGCAATGCTAGCTGTGATTGACATGTAAAGATATTTTAGTGCAGCAATACCTGAAAAATCTAAATATGTTTTCGATTAGGTTAGAAATTCGTGAGTTATGAGTCAGTACTGTTGAATACAAGCTTTTCCGGTGATAGCCAATCTTATAAGCAGGTAAGCTCAAGGGACTGGAACCTGAAAATTTTTGATGAGTATGGAAAGAAGAAGAAGATTTAGGGGATAATGTCTCACTAGCTCAAGAGTGTCTTTAGAATGTTCAAAAATATCTAAAAGATGCCTCTTCACCCTTTATATATAGGGATTTGAGGGCTACAAGGAAGGTACACAACACAACAACAATAATATCATCAAGCCTTTATCCTACTATGTGGGGTCAGCTACATGAACCATTTTTCTCCATTGTGTTCTGTTAAGAGTCAAATTCTTATTTAAATGTAATAAAGATAGGTCATTTCTAATAATTTCTAACCAAGTTTTTTTTAGGTCATCCTCCACCTTTCTTAACATAGGACAAATCTAATATATCTACTCTCCTAATCGGGCTATCGGAAGGCCGTTGTTTTATGTGACCAAATCATCTAAGTCAACTCTCTCTAATCTTATTTGTCATTAGAGGCTAGAGTTACTCTAATCTTTTCACGTATATGCTCGTTTTGTATCCTGTCTTTAAGAGTAAAACCACTCATCCACCTGAGCATCCTCATCTTTGCAACACTTAATATTATGCTTCTCTTTTAATGGTCAACATTTTGCACCATAAGCATTGCAGGTTAACCACCATCTTATATGATTTTCCCTTAAGTTTGAGTGATATTTTTATATCACATAACAAGACCAATGCATTCCTCCACTTCAACCATCCAACTTGAATTCTACTAATAATATCCCCATCTATTTCACCTTCACTATGAACAATAGACCTAAGATATCTAAAACTTGTGCTCTTATTAATGACTTGATCGCACAAAGTCACAAACTCACTACTAGATCTATTACTACTAAAATTGCTCCGCATGTATTCGGTTTTAGATCCACTCAAACGAAAACTTTTAGACTCTAAGGTTGACCTCCATAATTCAAGTTTACCGTCAACTTTCTCTCTAGTCTTTTCAACAAGAAGAATATCATCAGCAAAAAGCTTACACCAGGGAATATTCTCTTGCAAATCTCTAGTAAGAACATCCATGACTAAAGAAAAAAGATATGAACTTATGGCTGATCCTTGATGTAATCCAACTAAAATAGGAATATACTTGGTCATACCAGCTTGTGTTTGAACACAAGTATCAGCTCCTGCATACATATTTGTAATGACTTGAATATAAGCATTATTAACCCCTTTTTTATTACAACTCTCGATTATACTTCTCTTGGAACATTATCATACGCTTTCTCTAAATCAATAAATATCATATGTAGATCCTCCTTATTCTCTCTAAACTTCTGATAGGAAACACTTGTGGATCAAGAATTTCCTATCAATCTTTGGAAAACAACGAGAATTTTTCACAAAAATCCACACAAAACCACGAAGACAATAGATAATTTGTATTATTTGATGAAAGGGAAATAGAAAATAGCAAGATACAATTGATCCTCTATTCGAGAGGAGGATCGATCTCTACCAAATCTCTAGACGCTGCTAGAGCCCAAAGGAAAACCTAAATATAAGAGATATCAAATTTCAACCAAATTCAAGTTGCCATAACCTTAGGAAAATAAACTATTCAATGCATACAATCCAAAAGGAAATCTCTAAACAGTTCCTACATTCAAATTTTCCTCCTAACTCCCTAAAAAATCCTTCCTAAAAGGCTTGGGTGGCGTGGTCGGTGCGAACGATGTGTATAGGAGGCTGAAGATTTCCGCCTCTGTTTGCAAACTGGTCCAATAATGGACTGGTCTAACAACTTCTCCTTCAAATCTCTCAATAAATATATGACTTCTATAGTAGACCTACCCGGCATGAATCTAAATTGATTTTGAGAAATATTAATATCATGTCATAACCTATGCTCCATAACTCTCTCCCATAGTTTTAAAGTATGACACATCAACTTAATTTCTCTATAATTCACACAATCTTGTGCATCACCTTTATTCTAAAAAATAGGAATCAACACACTCATTCTCCACACATTTGACATCTTTTTAGTCTTTAAAATAATATTAAAAAGTTTAGTAAGCCAAAAAATTCCTTCATCTCCTAAGCATTTTCACACATCTATTGGAATATCATTAGGTCAAATAGTTTTTCCACACTTCAGTTTCTTTAAAGCCTCTCTAACTTCAGTTTTACTAATATGCCAATATAATAGTAAATGAGGCATAATACGGATCACCCAGGTGATGTGTCATGCTCTGATAGATGTTAGGAATGGTTATTACATTATGGTAAGTCCTCAATCTCAGGGTGAGTTCCCTTAAGTTGAGTGTTCATGGGGGAGTTGACGAAGGTGAGTCCTCTAATTGGTCGAGCTGGAAGGATTACTGTTGATGAATCCTTTGACAACATTGGCAATCTCGTGGAAGGGATCTTTGAGTTTCCTTGATGTGAGATGAAAGTCCACTTGACTTGCGGAGATAATGGACTCCATGGTTGGCCGAGTCTGAGGGGGCAAGCTTGAGTCTTCTTAGGACGATCTTGCTTTGCAGTTAAGTTGATGGATTTCATTGATGACTCAACGCTTGAGGTGATGGTGAGTCGCTTTGAGAGCATACTTCCTGTAGAAGTGACAAGTCCTCCCAACCTAAGGGGTCTTGTACGAACCCGTGGCATTTTTATGAGAAGCGAGTACTGTCAAATTACTTTGCCGAGTGGAGGATGGTTCCCCTTGGGAAAGTTTTCATTACCGAGGTTTACGGGGTTCGAGTTCTCCCATTGTGGCCTGTTAAATAGATGAGGAGGCATGTATGAGTATAGAAATACTTACCATTGTCAAAACTTCTATGAGTAGCCTGGGGTATAGTTGGCTGTGCTATGCGTTCATAGAATTGTTCTATCACTATTGATATGTAACATGAATTAGAGTTTTTGATGTATTTATTTGAAATTGAATGGATTTGTTAAATTCTCATCAACTGGAAATGGTGATTGCAGTAAGTAGGGCTCTAAGTACGTAATAAATCGTGTAGCCATCTACCTGTCATATTTTCATTCAATTTCTTTCAGTTATTTATCATTGTTGATATTAATCTTTTGATGTACGTTGTAACATTCATTGCCTTCTTTTTGATTCCTAACCTTTTGCAGGGTTAAGCATAGGGAATATGATACCAAAAACATTAGATGTATGACATATAGCTCCAAATTGGCAATGATCAAAGACTCTGATTCCACTAGTCTTGAAATGTTGATAAAGGAACCACATAAGTACTTTGATCATGTTAACATTTCTGTTCGTTCTGGAGATGGTGGACATGGTGCAGTGCTTTGCTTGCCAACGCAGAGAACTAGTTCTAAGTCAAAAGGAAAAGATGATCAAGATAAAAGTAAAAAAGGTTCATTTAAAAGGGATTCAAATGGATCACTAATCTTACCAATGGGTGGACATGGGGGGGATGTATTCCTATATGCTGATGAAAGCACAGAAACTCTTTTGGAATTTCACAAGAAGAAGAGATATAATGCAAAACGAGGAGGAAATGTTGATGCCATGGGCATGCTGACTTCAGTGTTACATGACGGATTTGTGGCACCATCATTGAGAATTCCCGTTCCTGTAGGTTTGTAAGCTCCCCTTTTTACTTAAACATGAAAGTGTTTTTATAATGATGCATTTTTTCTATTTGACATTGAAAGGTTTCCAATATTGCGATGGTTCTATCCTGCTACTTACTTTTAGCCTGTATGGAAATGATAAAGAGACCTGCTGTTGCCTTTATATCAGTAAATTGTTAGAAGGGCCGAACATTTAAAACCTTAAAAATGTATTGGGTGGTGATATTCTTCATCATTAACGTTTTGTTTCCTCATCTGACAATTTCCTTGACGTTTATAATGGCCTCATATTATATAAACTTTGCGCAGTGATCGTACAGTGAATACTAGAGGAGACACTTGTTTAGGCAGACACACCCTTGTATTGTTGCATATCTTCTTTTAAAGATCTACTTATGAAAATTCAACAAAATAATGCATACAATAATGAAGTAAGGGAGGAAAATAAACTTTCTGATAAGGTATATATATATATATATATATATATATATCAGCGAGAGCTCTTTGCACTGATTTTTGAGATTTTCAAACATTGAGTTGAAGAAGAACAATTAAATTTCATTTTACTATATAGAAACTACTAGAAAGAATGACGACTTCGGTCAACATGCTGCACTATTCTCTTCTGCTTGAAACATTCGGAAAATTTAATGTTATCATCTCAATGTCCAAAACATTATAGGATTTGATTTTCTTGACGAACTTCAATCCTTTTCTATCTAAGAATCCTTAGTTTTCAGGCAGCATATAGGTGCTCTTTTTTTTTTTTCAGTGGTTGCTTGCCTTAAAAACGCCAGATTTTCCCATATTTGAAATTGAAGTTGTAAATATATAGAATTCAAATGCAATGAGCAACTTATTAGCATAAATTGATTGAATTAATTTCCAGCTTTGCATGTATAATTCTCACTTACTTTTAGAAATATGATATTGTTGCTGACTCTTTAAGACATGGCAGGTACAGTTGTGAAACGTAAGAAAGGGAAATTTATGGCTGATTTGGCACGACCTGGTGATGAAATTCTTGTTGCTAGGGGTGGACAAGGAGGGGTTAGTTTTTAATGCGTGGTATTTGAATTATTACTATAGTTGCATATCTTTTATACTTTTTGATAGTGGGTATCCCTAATTTCAATGTAATTAATATTTTTTAAGGATTTGTTGTTGCGAAAATGTCATTTCTCTAAGGATCCAATTTGAATTGCCTAGGATCATGGCATCTCAAAACACAAAATTGCCATTGGTGTGTCTTTAAACTCATTGAAATTTTTATTCCATGCAAAATATAGAACTAAGCATCAATCAAATAACTGCTACATGAGGAATTTTGCAAACCGGAAGGCTTAATTCAAACCAACAACTGTAATGAGTGAACTATCTATAACTAGAAAAGTACATTTTGGAAGTCAAACTCAATAGACAATAACACAAGGAAACTTACTGTTGGAAGGATTCTTCAATCTTATTATTACATTGCAGGGTTTATAAAGGCGAAGTCGAGAATCGGGCGTTTTGCTTTAGCGATGCAAGGTGTAAGCCTCGAGGCAGATTGAGGTGTAACCTTAAAATAAAAAATATTAATATAAAATAAAGCAACATATTAATAACACAATAAAGTAATCCATTATATTTAAATCAATATTTGACTTTTTTTTAAGGTTTGAACTCCACTTTGATATTTTATTTAAATTGCTTGTGAAGTAGAAGTTTTTATCAATTCAGTAATCATTTTAATATTAGCATTGATATTTTTAATTTAAATCTTTTATTTTTTATTTTCTATTTTCCATTCAACATTATAAAATATATCATTAACAACTAAATGATTTATTTTATGATCACCAGTTGTTAGCCTCCATAATTTGAAATCTTTACTTTCAAATTTTTATTTAGCATAATACAACCATTCAACCTTGTTCATTCGTCTTATAACTAATTGGTTCTTTCTCTTTGTATGATAGAATAAAAAAATATATATTATTAATAGTAATATATAATAAAAATTATAAAACTTAACTATAATGAGGCGTTCCCTCAAAACGCCTCGAGGAGTTAAGTCTGGAGGCATGCACCTCATTTAAAAAAGGCGTAAGCCTCACTGGCACTAGCAAGGCTTAAACCTCGAGGCGCTTATTATTTTCCTCAAACGGTTTTTAAACCATATTACATTATCAACAAGGAATGGGGAATCATTTGTAGCATAGATTATTTTCATTTTTTAAAATTATTCCCTCTTACACAATTGCAACTTAATTCATCATCTCGAGTAATTATAAGAAAAAAATAGCTATATCATAAAATAAAATAAAAACCATATCACATAAATTGAGACATGAAAATAATTGTTTTAAAGATTTATGTTAGGATTGCGGCATTAATTTCAGACACTCAACTTTAATGTCAAATTTATGGAGTTCATCATGCTCACTTCTTGAAATATATAGGTTGTCAGTTCTAATTTTTTTTGGAACTATTTGTCAGATGAAATAGGAGATAAATCACTATGAAGGAAAACCAAATCCTTAGCCTTCTTTTCCTTGGCATCTTGCCATATACACTGGATCTTTTTACTAGAAGCAAATGCCTAGATAACGCTACAAGAGTAATAAAGTAATATGCAATTAAGGATTAATCTCAATCAACATAACTCTCAACATGCATCTTCTTTCCCTTTCTCACCTGAGTGGAACTGAAAATTCTTGATCATGTGGTCCATCATTTTTAATTACAACTGGTTCCCCTTTGAATTGGAATCATGAAAACAAGGAATTCAAAGAAAACAAGGAACTTAGGAGCCTAGTTTGTTTGCGCCCAAGAACTTTTTAAATTTGCATGCATCTGCGACCCCTTTCATTACTTTCACATGTCTCTCACTATTTACACTAGGGTTCTTACCCAGTTGGCCTTTTGCCGCCGGTTCCTCATCAAAAGTCTTAATCCAAAAGAGTTTCTCCTTTCTTTTATGTTAGAAATTCTCAAGATGGCATTTTCAACAACTTTGCATCGGGAAGAAGATGTAGAGCGTTGGAAGAAAGGTGCAGGCTTCTTAGCAAGATTTGGCAGCGGGTTATCGAAAACTTTCCTAATGAAATTGCAGGTGATGGATCATGGATGGTAGACCTATAGAGAGGGATCGGACGTCCTCCTTTCCAGGATGCAACGCGGACCGAGTGGCTACTGATGGGTATTTGTTGACCTCTTAAATAAGATAACAAAGAAAAAAAAAGATTTTTAAAATCATTACCTGTATCCAGCCGCCTGAAGTTAGAAGCCCCATCCCGCAAATCCTGCAAAAATTCCAACCTCCTGCCACAATACCCATTCCCTGTACAAACGACACCGCTCATGTCGCTTCGCCCTCTTGTGTTGCCCACCTCGATCGGATCTCTCCATCGTCGTTAAATACCCGAGCAAACGTGTTGCGTATCTGTTTTCAGAAATAGATTTTTGATGATTGCAAATACGTTTGCTTACTTCGACTGCCTTGCCTACTAACATTTCAGGACCACAGGATCAAGACTGCAAGTTGAACCAGCTTAAGATTGGGTAGATTAGGTCTGAGTCAGTCTGTAATGTACTTTTTCCTTTTCTTGAGTCAAATGTAATCCTTATGGTGCCTGATGCTAAGTAACCTTGCACACACATATGAGTGAATTTTTTCTGTCTAACTTAGAGTTATCTGTTTTGAGTACATCGTCCAGGACGATCCCAAAATCGTCATGACCGATCAGTCAAAAACAGAAACCCTAATTAGGGCATCCTGGTTAAGGTAGCCGTCATTAAGCATATCGTCCTAGACGATATTTGTATCGTCCTGGACGATAGACTCAAATCAGAAAGAATCAGCCGCTAGATCAATTTAGGAAGCTTTATTTTTTAATTATCATCCAGGACATCGTCTTGGACGATGAAGTTCAATTATGCCTAAATTGATCTAGAGATTAAGGAAAGTAATTAAGGTTGATTGATACGATCATATCGTCCTGGATGATCGCAGGATCGGTCGGGACGATCAGTTCAAAAAACCTTTATTTCTTCTTGACGAACAAAATCGTATACCCTCTATCCAGGGCGATGTGCTGGACAATTTGCGCAGATTTGAACTAATAGGCCAGGACGATCAAGTCATTTTGATTTTGTCCAGACTCCCATCCAGGGCGATTGTCTGGACGATATTCCCTGATTTGAACTAATAGTCCAAGATGATGTGAACAATATTTCTTCTGATCATCCCATGTTGTCCAGGCTGATTGAGCTTAATTTGTACTGATCGTACAGAACGATAATGTCGGTTCTTGAAATTCTATTTAAAAGACCCAAATTATCTCATGCATAAGACCTTGAGTGCTGCTGTCTTGACCTGAGAGAGCCTAGGGAGAGAGAGAGAGAGAGAGAGAGAGGAACTTGTGAGGGGGAGTTTGTGAGAGGGTTCACAAAGGTTGCTCCAAGCAAGGTTCCAAGTCATCTTCTCCGTTCTTCGTCCTTGGGAGGTTCTTGGGAGGTCTACTTCAGCAAACGGTCCGGGTTCTCTGCCCGCTTCAGGAGGAAGCAAAAAGAGTCGGTTCTCTACCGCACCGGAGTTGGTAAAAAGGAGTCTTTTGTAAAGGCTTCTCCGCCTAGCTGTAGGAGCTAAAGGAGAGACTTAGTTAGTGCAATACTCGGAGGGTGCCTCTGAGGAGTGGACGTAGGTCAATGTTTGACCGAACCACTATAAATTCGGTGTGTTCTTTCTTTATTTTATTTCCGCAATTAATTTCCGCATCCGTTACTCTTTCTGGTGAATTGTTTTGGTTTTAGTTTTGTGCTTTGATCGTAAAAAGTTTTTAAAATACTAATTCACCCCCCCTCTTGATTAGCCTCGGGACTAGTTCATAAGGGCTTAACATCCCTAACGAACTTTCAAAACGAAGACTTCGGCTTATGTTCTTTCTCATGAAACTCCAGCTGCTTTCCAAATCCTGCAAACTTCCACAGTGCCGAGCTCTTCCTTCGATCAAACCCCGACCAAGCCGTTGCCTCCTCCATTGCCTCCGACACTAGCTGTCGAAGCCACCATTGTCGAGCTCTAGCCTAGTTCGATCGAACCCCAACGCTTCTTCCTCTTCCTCTGTTATCAAAACCATTCGCAAGCCAAGCCCGACGTCCTGCTCTGTTCGCACATAACCCGACCTTCTGAAACGGAACCTCCTTCGCTACATCCGACTTCCTCCCTTCCATCAGATCTGTACCAAAACCAACATCTCACCTAGCCGAAACTTATGATTCCACCATAGCCACACCTCCTGCAACATAACTCATTCTCAACCTCTCTACAAGCCGACCGACCTTCGAAGCCCCCTACCCTGTTGGACCCTTCCTCCTATAGGCTGCCGAAGCCGACAAACCCAAACCTCAACCTCCCATCACTTTACCTTTTCAAGCCGACCCTTACCTGTAGCAGCGATCTCCATACCCGACACCTGCATTCGACTCTTGCCGTTGTAATCGACGCCAAGCTCACAATCCACATGCCTGATCCCACCAAATCCTCTAGTTCGACGTTTTCTCGAACCCCTATCCTCAACTCCCTCCAGCAAGCCGCGAATCCCATCCCTATCCTGATTTCCTCTCATAGTTGTAGCCGATCCTAATACCCTCACATTATCTAGCCATCCACTTAACTCAAAGAACACCAAGTCAGTCCATAAACCCATCTCCTCTCTGGTAGGTTCACAGCAAGCCCAATAGCAAGGTATTAGGTTGGTATTGATATAATTATGTTTATTGTTATTTAGATTAATGATGTTATTAGTATTAACCTCATTATTAGTTAGTTAATAATTTATCATCATTATTACTATTTTGTATATATATGTGTGTGTCTGTGTGTGTGAGAGAGAGGAAAAAAAAGGAAAAGAAAAGTGAGAAAAAAAAGAAATAGAGACAAAAAAAACAATATTTGTGCATTTTTGAGCATTTCATCGTCACCGACTGTTGTGCAAGTATAACTCCCCAAACTTAAAACTTTGAGAGCCCATTTTCTATATTAGTAGCACACCGAAAAATCACTC